GCGTCCCATGCGCTTCTGTCACCGCTTTCCTGGTGTCAGGGTGCATGTGGAGTGGGCACAATAGAACCCACATCAACATATGTTTATATAAGCTGCGAGTAGATGACCAAACACAAAAAACTACAGGAGTACTGTAGGTGCATGGACTGAGTCGTACCTGCTACCGTATGTTTAAGATTGCTCCTGATTAGCTAGGTGCAGAATAGCCGTGCCAGCTGCTTCAAAGCAAGCGCCTTCGTCACTGCCTGTGGGGACATGGCTTCAAAATCATATGTTCCCGGGCACTTTTTGCTGCGCCGCAAGTACATACACCATCCAAACCCAGTGCACTTCAACCTCAAAATCCACCAGGCTCTACTATTGTCTCGAAGATCGAGGTAATCTCACAAGTTCAAGAAAAACATTAGAACATGTTTCAACCCCGTTCCTCTTTTGTTCTGGTAAAATCAAACCTATACCCGTACAATGGGATATCGCACTATGGTGGGAGTCTTCATAATTGCGTTGCAAATGTCCATCGTGGTGTAGGTCCAATTCCCCACGTTGTATTTGAGCACACGCGTGTGCAGAGCGAGCAGGATCCAGGGCAAGAACTTCTATCAAAATTGAAAAGTTTGACAATCTTGCAAGGCTGACTCGAAACTCCACGAAGCGCTTAAACACGTTTTGTTAACAAGATCGGACAATGCAGCTTTGTCATTGCATGCTTTCACAATTGCATCCATCTCCGCTGGTGTCAGCCCGCGCCCCCTGCAGAAAGGGTACAAAGCCAAGCCATCCGCGGCCGGAGTCTGTGTCAGCCAAAGCTTTCATACCGGTATATAGACAGCAAACGTAAAAAAACAGTACACCCTCAGCGCGAGCATTTTTTTTGCACATGTTCTAGCTATTCATATTGCACTACTAGCTTGAACTACTCTCTCATCATGGTCACTATGTTAGCTTTACATTGACTTGCGTTTCTTACAGTTCTTTGTCTTTAGCTGCTTTGCTGGCTTCGAGTTCTGGTCTGTAAGTTCCGCAACACCCACGCACCTGATAGTGAAGTATCTGGCTCTGAGTGTGCTAAGCGACTACTGCTAAAACGTTGAAGTTACATTAAAGCAACGTTTTCCCCACCTGTCAGGTGAAGGTTGTTAGTCCTGTAAGTGCGATGCGGCAACTCCTCCGCTCCTCCTCCTCCTCCTCCTCCTCCTCCTCCTGCTTCTTATTCTTCTTCTTCTTTCTTCTTCCTTGTCTGCTCCACTCAACACTCAACCACAAGCTCCAGATGGCAGTGTGCACTCCAGGACTGACCTCAACAGCCAGAGTAGGCACTACCGGACCTCAACAGCCAGCGCCAGATCGCAGTGGGCACTACCGGACTTCAACAGCAAGCGCCAGATCGCAGTGCGTAAACAACTTTCATACACCATTCGCGATCGCAGTGCAAATGACCTTAACTTTCAACAGCAAGAGCAGATCGCAGTGCAAAAATGCAGCGCTAGATCACAGTGCATAATTTAACTGGTATGTCGGTATGTAACATATTCCAACACAACTTGAACTTGATTTATAAATGCACCCTTTGCTACAAACTCTTAATCACTCACAGTATCACATTCACTAGCTCTAGCTATGTTTCTCTTGTTAAGGTTTTGGCACGTTTGCCTCTATTTTCCATCAATTCTGTGTCATCATATGTATCAACAAGTGAGTTGATCAAACATTCATTCTTGCTACCTCTAACATTGCCTGGAACCCCTGGAACCCTCACCAATGTTGATCACATGACATGAGGGAGAAACAAGGAAAAAGTGCACGCTCACAGCGTCCCACTCTCAAGAAAATCGGAGAGCCCTACCTTCGATTGTTCACCTCTTTTTTCCTCTTTCATTTTGCTTGTGTAGCAGTGCAATAGAAACCGGGAATGGCCTGGTTTTGAAGGTCAAGCACAGCTCAGCAGCATCGCGGATGTTCTTTTCTTGGTCATCCACAAAAAGAACCTGGACGTGTCTGACATGTTGTCCTCTCCATTCCTTCTTCACAAACAACCGCCCCAAGAAATTTGCTGGGAATCTCACGCGCTCTTGCTCCCATCTGTATCAAATCACAGCAAGTGTCCTTTGTCCTGGGCCCTATATCCTACATAATTGAAGCAGGTTTCGATCACGTTAGAGTTGGGTTCGAGTATCTCACATTTGTTCAAGGTTGGGTTCTGGCGCAAGGATTGTAGCGGTTGCCAAGAAGGTTATGTAGGGTTCGAGTTCAAAATACAGCTTTGGAAAGTGCAGGGTTGGTTTTCGACTAGTGACTGGTTGGGATTCAAGATTCTCATCAAGAAGATTGTTTATAGTGGCTTCTTGTTACTAGTAGTAAGGCCAGGAGCCCCTAGTAGCGTCCTTGCTCCTAGTAGCAATGCCCTTTGCTCCTAGTAGCGAACATTGCTCCTATATACCACTTCCCATCAAGAAGATTGTTGAAGTGTTTAGGTCACACAACTTAGCACCTGATGAACAACCAATCTCGACAGCGATCAAGTTTCAAGTTATTCAATACTCTTGTCCTCAAAAACTATGTGAATGCTTGCTGTGTTGGGTTGGTTCGAGTTATGTGTTATTAGAAATTAGTGTTAATGTTCCCTAAAAATCTAGAAACAAAATCATTAGCGTGAGCTATCCTGCGTCCTGTCAGTAGTAGCGTCCACTTGTAGGTAGTAGCGACTCCCTAACTACTACTAAGCTACCTAGCGACCTAGCGGCCTACCCGACCCCCGGTCAAATATATATATATATATATGACAGTATATATAGTATTGCGAAAATGGTAGCAGCGGCACCCGAAGTCCGCGAGCAAGAAA